TGCCAAATTTTACAGGAAGAAAGGTGATGTAGGCATCCCTGCAACATTTGAAGAAAGCATTAAGCTTGACCCCAAACTCTGGATTCTTGCACCATCAGATTGGGATTTGCTATAGAACACAGTACTTTGCATTGAAAAAAGAAGTGTCAAAAGGCAAATTCCAACTCATTGGAGAGATGTTTGAATTGATGAGGCTTTGCATTTTTCACTTTAATAAAGTGGTGGAGCGTAAGACCAGGTTTGCCTATGCTTATATTGACCTTGCCAACATATACGCAGAACACGGACAGCTAAAGAAGGCAGATGAAACCTTTCAGAAAGTGTTTGCCATGAGCAATCTAACTTCTACAGAGCAGCAACAGCTCCATTTTAATTACGGGCGCTTTCAGGAACGTCACAGAAAATCGGTAGCCAACGCTCTGAAACAGTACCTGGCAGGACTGAAAATTACAAACAGCTCATTTGAGAAAAAGAAGTGTGAACGGAGTTTGAAGCAATTGTTAAACAAGGCAGTTAAGAAAGGTGCAAAAGATGCTGAGATATTTGAAAGCTTGGGATTCTTCTGCCAACGCACTGGATTAAAAGAGAAAGCCATAGAAGCCTTTGAAAAAGCCCTGGAAATGGATCCTGCCAATGAAGAATATCTGAGCGCAGTTATGAACTTGAAGGTTTCCTTAGAGAGCTAAATGTTTGTATATATTTGGAAAGTATGTGGTTTTGAAACATTTTTAGCTTTGCATTTCATGCCATGTCAAAACCCAAACACTTTGCATTCACACTTGCTTTGAGCTAGAGAACTTACATTTCTGCCATGCATTTTCTTTGAAAGTACTTGATAGAAGTATATTAGCTTCTAATAAAGTCTTCTGGGGCCCTTCAGTTCCATTAAAGAGACTGAATGCCTCAGAGTCTCTAATGTACGGACATAGTTAGAAAACAACATACCAGGAATAGGGATTTTGAATCTTAGGTGTTTAGATGGCCATTTCTATAGTTTGGCACCATTAGCCACCATTAATCCCCTAAACCTCATCCTCTGGTCATAGAACTCATATATGCCTTAGGAAATGAATGAGTCCACTCAAGCATTTAAATTCTAGTTCACCAATGTCTTAAAGAAACCATAAAAACGAAAGTTGGCTAAATGCTTGGATTGATGCATTGATTCATTGATTATGTGCCATCAAGTCGGTGTTGACTCTAAGCAAACTCATAGGTTTTCTCCATGATGATCTGTCCCTACCCTGTTAGATGGGAGAAGTCAAGTCCTTATAAAATCATCTGAGTTTCCAAATGATTGGCACATGCAGCAGCAACTACAACAAGCCAGAGTTATGCCAAAATGATAATAGATGTGCAATAGCTTCACTGCACAAATGCCCCAGTTGTGCACTTGTATCAAGATAGCGTTGCATGTTTATGTCATCCCGCACTTGTCAGCATTTGTCTCAGCTTGCTCCCCCTGCAGACTCCCATGGGGAACTTTAATAACATTGCTATGGAAACATTTAACGATCTGAGCTGCCTGCGTGGGTTGGTTTTTCTGTTAGCCAGTGAACCTAAGCACGCTGTACAAATTAAATGCATCACAATTAAGTGCTTGGATTAAATTAGCTACCATTTGGTTGAGGGAATACATGGGGAATAGATGTGTCAAGGCATTGCACACCATGGAACTGCTCCGGTTTTTACAATGATGCTGTTTCTCATTGCAAAAATTCTAAAGCAGTTTATAACATTCATTAAAAATGGTAGCGGGGGAGGGCTAATGGCTGGAGAAGACCAACCTTCAAAGAAGAGTTTTAAAATACTCCTACCCTGTCAGTGTTGGGCCTGGCATACTCCAGGGGGGAGGTCATTTCACAGGGCAGGGGCCAAAGCAAAACATGAAGAGAAGAGGCAATTCAGGTTTTTTTCTTCTCTGTGTTACTCAAACAGGGAATACTCCTAAGGTGACTGTTTGGCACTCAGCTCAGAGCATTAAAAAGTAAGCCCTTTATACCCTGCGTCATTCACGTTCCACATTCAAGGGACAGAATAGATGTCCCTGGCTCTGAATGGCAGAAGACGCAGCCTTAGGCAGGCAGTGCAGATAGAGCGACGTGGATGATGATGGATCAATGCTCTCACTTGGCACGGCATTCCAGCAACTGGTCTTGCGAGAATGCAAAGAGGAGTGTCCAGAGGCCAAACAGCACAGCCCACCTTTGATGCTGCACAGCTGACCTGACCACTGTGTGAAGTTGCTTGAATGTGTAGATTTGAAGGTCCTCCTTGAAGGAAAGAGGTTCTAGTACGACCTGGGTTCTCTGTGTGTGCTTTATGCAGCCACAGCCATGGGATCTCTCCCACAGGATCAGATACCAGCATTGGGATGGTTACCCAAACATGCGTCATACAATGGGTCCATTTCTCCTTGGTGTAACGTATGCTTTCCCCTTACATGTGTTGCACATAGAAAAACAGTTTGTTTTCGTGTGCTTTTAAAATGCTGACTGGTCACTCCCCAGTCTAGAATACCCTGACTTGTGTACTAATGCACTGCTTGGTTTCCTTGTACGTGGCCCGTCTGCCTAGAAGTCATGGAGCCAGTTGTCAGGTTTCTGGGCTTTCTTTCCCACAGGAAAGCTGCAGGGAGGATCCTTGGGGCGTGTATGACGTTACTCTATTTCAAGCATGATAAAGAAGCTTGAAGTCTTTTGTGTGGGATTGGATGAGTGTTTTGGACGTCTCAATCCCTGTGGTTGGATAGGATCAATGACGCAGTGGTTCATTTTTCAACAGAGCTACCAGGCTTTGATGCTTCTCTGCTTAATATTTTGTTTCTTTGTTTCCTTATATTTGAGATGAAGGAAAAAGTCAGCGTTCTCATGAGATTGATGTCCGATTAGGAAAGATCTGCTGGAAACTCTACTGTTGGCTGCTCATGTAGATGATTTTGAAAAGAGAATTCCACACATTTTAAAGAAGATACAGTACCAGTTTGGTGTAGTAATTAAAGGTGCTGAATTAGAGGCTGGGAACAATGAGTCTTTGCCTTAGGCACGAAGGCAGCTGGGTGACTTTGGGCCAGTCACTCTCTCTCAGCCTAGAAAGAAGATTCTGGCAAGCCACTTGTGAAAATGTTTGCAAGGAAACTGCAGAGACCTGTTCTTGCGGTCACAGGAGTCAGGGCGGTCTTAATGGGCCATGAAAAGAACTGTGGTATCGGTGCTCATGAGTCATAGCCACTGCATCGAATCTCCACACTAGGCAGTGAATAGAAACTCTCCTGGGAGGTTTAGTGGACTTCTCTTCCAAGCTTCGTTGCTGACTTCCTTTGAGACATTTGATCATCCACTGAGGAATGGGTTGCTGGCTTAGTGTGGCTTGAAATGAGCTCCACAAGCCCAGTTTCCTAACAAGTAGATCTAATACCTTCTTGCATTTTTGTATCAAGCATCGGGGGGGCTGGGGTGTTCGTAACCCCAGGAGCATCTGCACCTTTCTCTGGCTGAACAGATTTGCACGCTTAAGCTTTCCTAACTCTCAGTAGTAAGAAGTTCCAGTGGTTTACCCAGAATTCATTTCTTTTGGGCAATTAACTTTGATATCTTTACAGCTTAAGCCTATTGATGAAGATAAATGTAAAAACAGCAGCAAAGCCACTGGGCTGGTATTGGATTGCGATGGCCCTGTTCAAGGTGACGTGAGCACTCCTGGGGAAGGCTGGGGCAGAAGATCACCTATTAGGCTACTGTGACCAATTCACAAGACATCTGGAGGAGTAAATCGCTCATATTCATGCAGAGGTGGATGTTGGCTGGGCAAGTCTATTCGAGATGACAGAGGCAATGTCATGTGAGGTGGTCTGGCCTGCTGGATCTCTTGGTTTCCTTCAGGACCATCGTTCATGCTATCCTGGACTTCCTGTGAGACTGGGAATGGGGGTCACTGTTCTGTTGGCTATCTGAGCAGCAGTTCCAGTCAACGGTAATGGAGGGGAGAGGGTGAGGTACTTGTGGGCTACCTCAGGATTTGACTTTCTCCCCTCTCCTGTTCAACATCTCCATGAAGCCATTGGCATAGGTGCAGATGGAGATATCACTATGCTGATCGTACCTATTTAAACTTCTCCATCTGGGCTGAACAGGGATGCAGCTGAATTTCTGTCCCAGTCCCTGGAGGCTGTATGGGGAGAAAGAGATTCAGTCCCAGCAGGATGGAGTGGCTGGGAATTCAGAAGCCCACAGATTCCAGAAGAGTTCCAGCTTTGATCCTGGATGAGGCTGCATGCCTGTTTCCTGTAAGATGCTGTGCAATGCTTGCTTTCTCAAAACACGCTAAGCTTCAAAGTACCCATCATCAATCAACAGCATCATCATCATCTAAATTGTATCCCACAGAATCATGCAGACTGATGACAATCTGCAACACACAAATTAGTATAAAGCATCCGTGCTAAATAATAGTAACAACAGGAAGAATAATATAAGCACAGGGAGGAAAATTACCCCACAACCGCAAACAGCACTATAATGCAACATGCATTATGCTAATAAAAGAAAAGCAAATTCAGCAGAATCAACAACCTCAATGCGGATTTTAAAAAATCTGGAAATTATATTCATTAGCTATTTTCTTACAAAATGCAGTGTTAGCTACCCAGAAGTCTAGTTTTAAAGAAAATAAAAAAGATGCACATTTAATAGCCAGACAAATTCTTGGTTGAAAGGGATTGTGAATTCCTGGGAAGGGCTGACCCACCTTTAGCCCCTGTTCTGGTAGGGTAAAGGGTGTGGCTGCAGGTTGAATCCTGGCAATAAAACATAATTTGCAAGAGAGAGGCAGAATTAGCTTTGCAGATGCTTTCACAGCTGCTTAGTGTTGAATGACTTAAAATGAATTGCTTGATTGCAAACTCTTTACCTCAGGAATCATGCTTTCATTTCTACCCAAGCAAAATCTTGTGGTTACCAACAGTACGCAATGAGAGGAGCGGTCAAAATCAGCAAGATGAAAGTTGGAATGTCACAGTGCCAGCCCCACTGATTTTGTGTGTGCATTGATGCCCCTGCTGACTCCTGGGACTGTCCCAAGGACAAATATAGCCCCCCCTCTCACACAAAGAGTCGCTTTGTGTGAGATGGGCAGCTATATAGATGTAATATATCAGTAAAGGAATAAAATAAAAATCACAGGATGCTCCTAGTAGAAAAACCAACCAGAGAAGATTAAGCTAAAAGCTGTTAAATTCTTATTTATTAGATTTATATCCCACCTTTCATTCAGCTCAAGGCGATGCACACAGTGCTGCCTTTCTGTCAGCCTTATCAGGTAGACTACATAGAAAACATGACCAAATAAACTAATTCTGCTTTATTGTAAAGTCACATTACGAGATTCTTGCAAGCCTGAAAGTAGAATTCTCCCACCGTCTCTTTTACAGCCTGAGAAACTAGGGAGGGCCCCTTCTGAGCCTTTTGCCCCACTGCCCTCCAGCCGAGGGCTGTGCTATGTCTTATCTGACCATTCCCCAGGAAGCATCTCTTTGTCCCGTCTCCCAAGGTCTTTCCCACATACCATTACACTTTCCCATTTCCTCGCACAACAGCGGCCCTGTAAGAAGGTTGGACCAGTTTCTTGAGTGGAGGGATTTGAGTTTTCTGACTTCCGCTCCTCCTCTGTAATGCTTGTAGTGCAAGTTTGCCATCTTGGTTAATGCTAGACGTTCCTCATTTGGAATGTTGTACTGGGATCTGATGCAATCTGATGGGAGGGTCAGAGTCTTTCACCTAGCTACTTATAACAGCAGGCAGATCAGTCTTTAAAATGAGAAGAAAAGAGGCGGCTCGGTGTGAACACCTGTCTGTGGGAAGATCCAATAAGTGAGTAAACTGCATTCAAATGCTTTTTTTAAAAAAAGAGAACAAAATGGGGGTGTTTGCTGAGAAACATCAACTGCTGGAAGAGAAGAAGAAAAAGTTGGGGTAAGGCATCCACCAGCTAAATATTAGGAATTAACATTTTACATACTGATTTTGGAGTGAGCAGAGTGAGTGCTGTGCTCAGAAAGTTGACAAGCTAAAGGGAGAAAACTCAAGTTGATGCATAATTTTCTTTCAGGTTTCACAGTAACGTTTGTTAGATGTTTTGATTGCAACATCCTGCAAGCAAATGAGGTTGTCAGGCTGGCTTTCTTTGAAAGCCAGACAGACTGAAACAAGTATTTGATTTAAATCAAGGACCTTACTGTTATTTAACAATGCTATAAAACCAGCCATATGGATCACGTTTATTGACAACTAGATTATTGTTTATATGCTGTTTCAATCTTCCAATCAGGTATTTTATCTGCAACACACACCATTGCAGCTGTCATTTTGACTTTTTTTAACCGTAGTCTGTGGACACCCCTGCAGGCAGCCATGATCTCATCGTGCTGGATGGACTAGAGCAGGCACTCTCAGCAGGACGAAATGAAATGCTTGCATCTGGTAGGCAGAGTGTAAATGTTCCTATTTGCAAAGCAAGCTAATTTGGACTTCAATAGCAAAGTATCTTGTAGAAGGAACGGAATCAGTTTTGAGAGGAACTCTAG